ATTTTTTACATTCTATACATTAGACTATAGTGATCACTATAAAATAATTAAAAAACGACAAATCACAGTTACTAAATAAATGACAGCCGCGTGGAAATAAATTGACATTTTGTTGAAATAGGTGAACGCGTCGGGTCACGGCGAGGGCAAGTGCGTTAAAAGCGGCGTTTAATTGGATAACAAAAATAATTGAGATCGACACACATACAGATAAATTCAGAGTGGATTTGAGTTAGCTTGGTCCATGGTGTGATTGTCATAATTATAACATCGTATTAAAACTTTATTTGGTGGAAACACATTGACCAAGCCCGGATTCTTATTTCATAAATTATTACGCAGATCAAGCTGCAAGCATGGAGGTAAAAAAAGAACAGAGGTGTGAATTCGACATTCAACACAATCCACCAAACAATTCAGAAACTTTTAGCCTTCGAAAATGAAAACAGTTAGCAGTGTGTAAGGGCTGTGTAATTTTCTGTTTGTCCGACGCTTCGTTTTCGTGTCACTGTCAAAATTACTGTTACCTTTTACTTAACAGGGACTAAATGGTTTCTATAAAACGATAATCAGGATCGCAAAAAAAGTCAACTGATTTGAAACACTTGCCGGACATCGCTCTCTCTTCTGAAATCCGCCTTGGTGATCATGGGCTGGTCCGGAATCTATTTCTTTCAAAAGTGTTGCGCCAGGTTTACGTTGTCAGCGTTTCTCTTTAAACCTAGTCGGGTTTTTTTATGGACGAGGACAGTTGAATGATTCTAAGGTTAAGTGATGTCGCACCTTCGGATCGATTAGAAACGTGTGAATACATACACTATGGCTATACGTGACACTGCAACTGCCCACAACACAACATCTAAAAACTCTCTCTCTCTCAAAAAAAAAGAAAAAACGCCGACCGAAAAATGTATATCGTTTAAAAGTATACTGAACGGCCAGTGTTATTACGGCTCAGGGTATGACTTCCTCTCACATTTTGTCATTTGGTGGCGCACTTTCGGCGAGAGCCGGAAATCTGGAAACAGTCAACCGTTTCACGATAGGTGGGCGTGGCTACAACACGAGAAATATCCCAAATTTACTTGGATACGAGTAATCATTTTCAGCAAAAAAATCAGTAACTACCCATTTCAGTGGGACACAGATCTAAAATGGGAAACGTGAGGGTGGGCATTACACAGGCACTTTAAAATAACAAAATCATGATACAATTTTGTTGTTGGAAATGATGAATGTTGATAAAAAGTTAGAAATTAATGTTCAAAATCGGACAACTGAATATCAACTCACTTGCCTTAACAGGCTATAGAAAATATATAGGCAACATGCATTTTGGACAAGTGAGTTTAAAATATAATGCTCTGATAGTGTATAATTATTCAAAATGTTGGGGTGTAATGTATGTTATCATGACTTCTGTCACTATGATACAACTCCATGAATGGAAATACATGTGCTGTCCACAAGTTCAATGAGCCATATTTGATGTTGATTTCAGGTAAGAGAAAGATTCAGTCGCTTGGTGCACAGCTGAAATTAAATCAACACTGTATAGACACTGCATACAATTTTTTCAAAATGGCGGTTTCCAAGAGATTGACGAGGGGTCGGAAGACGAGTCATGTTGTCTCAGCATGTTTGTATCTTGTCTGTAGGACGGAAGGTACACCACGTATCCTTTGCATAAATGATTGATTAAATCAGTATTTGTTAAAGTTGCACTCTGAGAGCATTCATAGAACTTTTGTGTTGAGACTACTAGTAATATATGAAATATTTGATGGTCTGAATTTGTGCATGAATTGTTTAGAATTACTGTGAATCAGAAGCAATACTTTGTAAATCTACATGTGTACAAATGCTATAAAAAAGTGTTAGCAAAGGAAATTCAAACACTATTACTAGTATCAAATGGGAAGCCAAAACGATTGGACATGCAAAAAAGTATTGAAATTTGAGTGTTTATTATACATTTTCTTCAATTCCAGTAATTTCAGACTACTGGTAATGTGGATAATGGAAAAGCACATTTAATTGTACCTTCAATAGTACATTGTTCTTTTCAATATATTTTCTTACATAAATTGTTAAACAGATATGCTATTAGATTTCAGTGACATTTTGCAGGTGAGTGGTTTTTCAAAGTATGTGTCTAGAGTGCTTGTTGTTGTCTTCTGGTCAAAACATCTGCCACAAAAATCAAATGATTTTATTTTGAACTTAAATTAATTTTTTTAATAGTTCAGTGTCAAAATGCCAATCTTCAATATCTGAATATGGCGTTGAGATACTCTTACTTCATTAAAATGACCATCCTCAAATGTGTATAGCAAATTATGAAGCAAGAAAATTTTCCAAAAATACTTTTGCATTTGGCAAATCATACATGATGTTGACACCACTACAACAATATGACCTTTGTTTTTACATATGATTTCATGCATTTCATGGAATCTCACAGTGAACGCAAAAACTTATGCCAGAGAAAAATTGACACCATGTTATAAAATCGTTCTAATGCTCCAGCACTGATCTCCAGAAATGGACCATAATAACTATCCATAATTGTCCACTGTTCATGGAAATCAATGCTTGACCATTATGAAGAAATTACATATTATCGTATTCGCTCTATTAGTAGCACATCTCTAATAGAAGTACATTATAAACCTAAAAACACAATTGTTGTATACTCAAATATTACTTAATTTTACAATGGAAACGCCTCTCTGCATGTGCTACTAATAGAACAAATACATTATGACCCAGAACTAGAGCTGGACTACAATTTCTGTTCTTTAAAATGAAGTTCCCTTTATGTGATAGTTATCATGCATGACTTGATATGACGATTAGTCACCGAGACGAACCATTTGACCATTAGCAACTATTTATCACTGAAACTTATGCATATATTTGCTGTTGAACACCCCTCAAACAAGAATTGTTCCATCACAAAGCTAATCTAGGTACAAGTACTGTGGTTACTGGCATTCTTCCTAAATTTGCTGATAATTGCATCTTTATTTTCCTTTTTAATAGGTTAATGTATATGTGCTAGGTAAAACATACCTGAAGTTGTCAACTGAATTACATATAAATGTTCCTGCAATAGGTAAATTATTTATATCATTACAATGTATTTTTGTTGTTGAAATGAAATCACTAATGAAGATTAGTATATCGTATATTAGCCCATCCACCAACTTATCTATCACATCACAGTCAGTCATGTAACCCATTATTCTGGCGGAGCTGTTCATATAGGTGATTGTCTGTCGTCGAACGTCAACAATTGCTGACTTCTTTTTGAAAATTGCCAGCTCAATTGCTTTGATATTTGGTATGTATGTACCTTGTTGGCCTCTGTAAGATTTGTTCATTTTGTGACAATATCTTCAATTCTCTATTTTTGTCTAATATTTTTGGTCAAAAATGCTATTTTTGACTATTTCTTGAAAACTACCAGCTCAATTGGTTTGATGTGTTATACTTAAGTACGTTGGGTGGACCTCTATTAGATTGGTTCATTTTGTGTCGATATCATTAATTCTCTATTTTGGGCAAATATTTTTGTAATTTTTGGTAACAAATTATAATTTTGAATTCTTCTTGTAACACGTACTGCGAATTACAATTATTTTGATGAAGTTAAGTTGACATCTTCTCAACTGCCAAAACCAAACTAAGTGTGCGTTGCTCGACTTAGCTACCACAATGTTATTGTAGGACAGCAGAGCTATTTTGACCGTTATTTTTCTCCAGCATCCATCAAAAACTGTCTATGTTTACTTGTTGATCAGGCAATTTCAGACAGAATTTGTTCTGTCATGATGAAGGTGCCCAAGAGAGCAACTTTCTCCATACTTTTTTAACTTAAAAGAACATTTCTTCTGATCAGCCAAGCTGTGAAGTAGTCACTCCACCAACTGAGCTGTACAGGTGGTCGATGGGCAATGCAACGAGTAGCCGTTGATTACATTGCATTGTCTTGTCAGGTGTGCCGTGTACAGGTCATTTTTTCTGATCTGATCATCAGCTCATTGTTCATCTACACAAATGGAGTTACATAACATACACATGCATCCACCACAATGGGGTTTGTAGCAACTACTGAAACTCACCAAATTTGTGATATAACAGGTTATTCAGACACGTATTGATTAAACCGAATGTTTTTTTGGGAGTTCGCAGTTACTAAAAACATTGCAAAGTAATTCAGAGAGCGTCCTCATACCTGTTGGTTAATCGATTTTAAAAATAATTTAGTTGAATACCAAGAAATTCATCATATATACATTTAACCATTAGAAAACCCACACTTTCATTTTGTTTATGCAAACCCTGCAGTTGTATTTACATGTGAATTTTAATCAACTACAGCTGAGATTGTGAACCAGCATTGTATTAGTTAGATCACATATTTTGTAAATCTACACAGACCAGACTATTGCATCTTGGTTAAGACTATAGTTATATATAGTTTTTCCTCAACGACTGAAGAAGTTGGTGGGATTCAAATTATACCCACAATGCAAACCAATTCCAAACCATACAGTTACCAATACTTTTCAGATCTGTGGTGACTTCTAGGAGAGAAGTCTACTCAATTGAGATAGACAAACACACTAACCATTGAGATCAAGTGCACATTTGCAAATAAAAATTCAATTTGAAATATTAAAATTATTTTTATTAGCATAACTATCACACCATGTGTTCAATAAAAATTCTATTGTACATTGAATGACAGTTATGTGAATATAATCTAGCCATCAGGCATGTAAATGTTACAGTCAGTAGAAATCTAATAAAAATATGATTCTGTTCAATAAATAAATGTACCACATTCCTTTACTTTAGGGTTGGGATTTCATAATATTGGTAATATTCAATGTTTTGGATTCACTACATACATGTACATAAAATGGCTATATTTCACATTTATATGCAAATGCTACCGGGTAAGTTGCGTTGAAATAACAGTACCGGTATGCAAAATAAGATATACTTGTAGGTACATAGAAAAGAAGGTTATATTCTATTATCAGACTCACTAGTGTAAATAGTTGCAAGCTCATGAATCACATACAATTCTCCAGCCTTTGACTGTGAACTCTTGTCCCAACTCCGACAATTCTAGGTAACTGAAAATGTTCATTCACACACTCTACATATAGAACACAATGAAAACATTTTTCTCTGAATAACGTGTATTAACATAGTAGTCATAAATGCATATGGCTTGGCAAAAGTTGTTAACAGTATGAGCCTATACAAAGGCCTAATATAGTGGAGATTTTATAAGGGGAAACTGTTGCATCTAAAGATCCGATTTGAACTAAGGAACTGATTTAAAATTGCCAGTTACATTGCAGCATGGTTTGCACCATTTGTGATCACACCAGCCATTCTAAGAAATTATTATCATGCAACTTCCAATCCTATAAAATTCCCAGAATACTACTATGTTTTTATCATTTCATTACACTTCTTTTTGCTCGGTGTTAACCACCAATGTTTCGGCAACTACACATGGTATCACGTGACAGTCATATAATTGATATAGATTATTCAAATAAAATAATTTCACAATTCTTTGATGTTTAAAATTGTTTGCATTATGACTTCATATTATTGCTTTTCCATGCCATGTATATTAAAATAATGACACTAAGCATGTGGGATCATCATTCCTGTTTAACTCTTCACATCACTTGTAAGGTATTGTCTACAGCTATTTCACGTCTCAGAACAATATTCAACCTGCATACAACAAATACATGTCTATTTATTCATGCTCAAGTCATATATGAGTGTGTTCAGTGAATTAGCAAATTTGCATTTTTCTTCACAAATTAGGCGTGTTTTGAGCTTTGACAAGTACCAGGTAACACATTTAGTGATTAAAAAATCATATGTGTAGATACATATGTTGTAGTATGAAAGTTGGCAGTTCAATAAACTAATTTTATAATCAGTTGTTTAAACTTTAATATTACCCTGTTTCAAGGTACATGTACCACACTTTCAGCATATACCAGTACATGTAATAGGAGAAAAAAAGGTTCAAGATTATTAGGCATAAAATATCATCTCTGGTATTTGCCCTCCTTGAACACCAGTTCCATTTGTACTCTCTGTGGAACATTGAAATTGAAATATAACGTCCCCACATGACACTTCAGGCAAGCCTTCTTGTCCAAAGTAGCTGAGTTCTGTTCCATCTAATATTACACTTGCTGTATAGTAGGCATCTGGTTCTATCTGAATTGGATGGTCAAACAATACAGGAAAGGTATTACTTGAGCCATCTGTGTAGAACTGAGTCTGTCTCTGTCCAAGAACTTTACCTGCACGTTTTAATTCAATTTTGATCTTGTAATCATATGAGCCAGAACTAGAACCATAAAGACCGTAACCAGCAATGAATATACGCTTATCAACTGAAAACTGAATGCTGTCTGTTCGTCCTCTATATCGCCACTGATTGCTACGATAGGCAGAGGACTGAAATCTGTGAACTCGTTGTGGTTTGAGACCAATTCGAGGTTTTGAGCAGAATTCTAACTGTGGTTTTTGAAGTGCTGTAAAATGCAAGAATACATCTGTAGTTTCTTTCAGCGTAAGCAGACCAGACTGTGCAACGGTGTTTGCAAATTCCTCAATGGGCATTGCTGGTATGCGAACCAGATGTAATGAACCACCGAGTACTTTGCGTTTATTATCAGGGTTAATCTTTATATCCTGTCTTACACATTCTGCTTCAGACCAACGTGAGGCAGCTTCAAAAACTACACTTTCCTTGGCATTGAGTGTTTCTCTTGCCAACACAGATTCCAGAGTAGTACAATCAATATCACAGAATTCCTCTGATGTGAGTGCTTCTTCAGCTTGAGCATCAATCACTTCCCAACAACGTTTTGTTAACTCTGGTTCCTCAAACAGTCTGCTCTGACTTAAAAACACACATGCATTTCTAGCACTCAGGCTTGTTTCCAGGAAGCTTACACATGCCCTCGCTAAATGAGGAACAATGTATTTCTTAGCTGCATACAGTGTACTTAGGACGGTATCAGCTACCAAATCTATCTCATCACAGTATAAATACCTACAGGAAAAAAACAATAGAAATTCAGGAGTCAAGAAGGACTATATTAGTTGACATGGTACCATATCTTATATTAAAGTAAATTTTGAAAAAGTTGGTCTTAAAAATATATGGCTATGTTCATTGGTTTAATAGGTATTGTACAATTTATGAACCTGAACTACATGGTAACATGACACAGTAATGAGAAAATTTGACATAGAATTCCATAGAACCATAGACCTTAGAAAACAAGGTCTATGATAGAACTTACTGCATCAGTCATATTTCATTTTTTTTTTACCTATCTGACACCAGTCAATAAATTGAGATACGATATGTACTATCCACCATAGGAACAAATTTTAGAAGCATTTTAATAATGACATTTACTAAAATATACTGGTGACCTCAATTTTAATTTCGAAGTTAAAATGATTCTTTTACTAACTGAGAGGAGAATTTATTGCAAAATGGATAAATATGAGTATTTTTGTTCGTGAGAAGGCTTCTTCCTCCTTCAAAATTACTGTAGCAGTTAATGTTATTGTAGGGTCTAAGGCATCCAATTCACAAGAATTTAATCTAATTCAAAATAAATCTAGTTTTGATTTTAATCATAGATTTACTTTTATTAAACACATAAAATTCCCCAGGGGGAATTAAAATGGTTACATTTACACTAAACAAAACTAGACTAATAATACAAAAGACTAAAGTAGTGATTAAAAAAAATAATAATTGAAATAAAAGAAATAAAAAAAACATGAATATAGACTATACTGTCTATGTTTTAATAACCAGTTTCTAAAACCGGTAGAAAAAACAACCTACAGCCTAGCAAGTTCACATTGGTTGGGTAATATTTCAAATCATATAAACTATACAATTTAAAATCAGAGTTAATACCGCTGCACATACCGGAGCAAATTAATAAATGCTTGAGGCTCCACATCTGGTATTTCAATTTCGGATCTGTTCTCTGCCAAGTCACCATAAAACATCGCATAGAAGACGGAACTGCCAGTGGCAAGGACGTATTTATGTGATGGCATCAGTTGCGCCGAATTTTTCGGACCGACTAAGAAGTGAATGTCACTCATAAGTTCATTTAGAAACATGTACGAATTTCTTTCGCAGACTGTAGACTTCTCTGCTTGCCAGTTTTCCAGAACTGTCACCGGCGGAGTTACTGGTGTCTTCGGTTTAATACACGATGACTTTTCATTAGTTGGCAACATGACTTGTTTAAAACTATCACCGCGATTTAAATTCATTTTGTCGGTCACTGATCTATTGAGGTAGTACGGCTACTTATTAAGCTGTCTGGCAAATGTAAACAAAAGAAGACTGTCGTGGGAACCCTGGTTGGAGACTGGGGGTCAGCGACCCCGAAAGGAAGGAAGCTGGTATACTCGGATTTCCTTGATGACAGACTGTATACTCTTAATGCATCCGTGCAACGAAATGATAGATTCCAAAGATTACGCATAGAAAATTCTGATAAAAAACAAGTGTCTCTTTACGTCGAGCGAGGGTCCGTTCGTCGGCGGCGGCTTTGGTTAGCAGTGATATTTTTTTCTGTATAATGAGTTGGCAGCACAGTACGATTTCTTACCGCGAATCCTAATATCAAAAAATACAAATGTCTTCAGCAAGACTGCATACCGCCGAAAGATACGCAATTAATTTTGATCAAGTTCTCGACTGCAAAATTAGGAGTCAAAAGGGTCGGCCATTTTTAATAACAATATTACCCATAATTCAATTCGATGTCAGAATGATTGACAGGAAATACCACCTAGGAGACCCGTCAATGAACCATTCTTAGGAGAAGTACTTTATTTGCTGACCGATAAGCCAATGGACGTTCTCGAATTTAATAGCGAGGCATTGTTTATTCTCTTCTGATTAATTCCATGTGTAAATAAATAAAACAAATAAAATGAAAAATAGAAAATTGTTTTCAGGTCGTCACTAAAAAAATTACAACATTCTAAATCAAATTTGCATGCTTAAATATTTCAATGCGCGGTGAATTTGGATATTGGAGTCAAAACTATTTTGTCTAAAATGGATGTTTGACATGGGCGTTATGTGAGCATAGTTCAAAATAACTGATGCATGTGATGACCAAAAATAAAAATATTTCTATTTTTAATCTTGACATTCCTAATTAGTCTTCAAGTTCATTATACTTTTAGCCAGGTTTGTTATAGTTTTCTGAATAGTTATCACTGTACATTGAATCTAGATTTCTTCATGCCTTGGTATAGCATGAAGTATTAGTTATGCAGTACTACCAACAACAAACCCATTCCCCTTATTTTTATAAATCTTCATAAATTTCACAATTCAAACTGAAACAAGTTTTTAATGGCCGACGGAATAACATTGGAATATTTACAAAAGACTTCATTGCGCACTATGCTCGTTGTTTGATCTTTGAAATTTATAAATATGTTTAAAAATGAAAAGATTGGGTTTGTTGTACAAATGTATGTATGTATGTATGTATGACACTATAAGGACAAACATCCTAGTGCATTTGTTCCCCCACAATCAATGATAATTCATTTACTTTTACCAAAAAAATGAAAGCAGCTATTATCATTGAAGTTCAAAAAGAATAAAAGTGGTACAAATTGAGGTATAATATTAAAAATGATTACTTTCTTTTAAAGTTCTTTGCTGTTATAGAACAAAAACTGCCAGGATATGTGAGCTTTAGGAGTTGCACTTATTAAGGTTCATCGGTACCATGTTAAAATAAAGAATGATTCATATTTTTCTTCCCAGATCCTTGTTTGTATATTCCACGTTTTGCCCACAAACTAGAGTTTGGTGATAAAACTCATGATGTTTCCATGACAGCATTGCGTTTGGTGTCTCGTATGAAACGTGATTGGATGCATACTGGTAGAAGACCATCAGGACTTTGCGGAGCAGGTACTGAATATTTCTAGCTTAAAAGTGTTTGTGGTTCTCTAAAGAAAACCACCCCAGTAGACTTTTCCTATAAGTCTTGTCTTTTAGTGGTGATTGAAACACTCCTGTGATGTCAAAATTTCATAGATGGGAGAAAGCAATTGTGTAGTCTTTTGTCATTTAAAATATAGTAAAACTGTTGAGCACCATAGTTTTTCCAGCCAAAATTTTGTGTCATTTTGCCTGTTTTTATTATGTATTTTTTGCATAATTTTGACCAAATGGATATAAATTCCCATTGAGTTCAGGTCCTGCATATAAAGGGTTAAAACAATATGTCACTATGAGCTGTAGTGGCTTTCCTTTCACCCATTGTAATCATAAAAATGCTGGACGATACAACGTATGTATTTCATTTATTATGTAAGAGTTAGAAACTATTGAGTTTAATGATGGGAATGGTTATTAGCAGTCAAGAGTTAGTACTGATGTGGGCTTACGTTTGACCTTTGCATTTCTGTTTCAGCTCTCTTGGTATCAGCAAGACTTCATGATTTTAATCGAACGCAAAAAGAAATTATTCGTGTGGTTAAAGTATGCGATGCAACGTTAAGGAAAAGGTAAAATCACTCCACCAAAAATGTACATAATTTACAACACATTGCATTTTGTGCTATGTTCTATGTATGACTTTGGATGGTCCACTCACTTTTGTAATACTTCTAAGTCATTGTATTACAGATTGACTGAGTTTGAAGAGACTCCTTCAAGTCGGCTGACAATTGATGAATTTCAGAAAATAGATTTAGAAGAGGAACAAGACCCACCAGCATTTACAAATGCCAGGAGAAAAGCCAAAAAAGCACAGGTAAGTTATTATGTATGATGACAAGGAATTATGAGATGAGGGTATGCAACTCTGGTATCTATGTCATGAAAAAAATATCACCTCTTGTAATATCTCAAGCTTATTTCAACCAATGACATCACAGAACACTGTGGATGTTTGGAAATGTTCAAGCTTTAATCAAAATGGCAACCCACATGTAATACATGCATTGCAAATAAGCAGGACATCTGCAGAACAGCCCAAGCAGAACACTACCCAGCTCTTTCACAGAATCACTTATTTGCATTAGTATTTTTAGAAATATTTTCCTTGTGATTTTCTTCGAACAATCACCTTGGTGTCCTTCAAAAAATTCACATTATTCCTGTATACTTAGTCAAAAAGCCATGGAACTAGGTGCCCTGTATACTTAGTCAAAAAGCCATGGAACTAGGTGCCCTGTATACTTAGTCAAAAAGCCATGGAACTAGGTTCCCTGTATACTTAGTCAAAAAGCCATGGAACTAGGTTCCCTGTATACTTAGTCAAAAAGCCATGGAACTAGGTTCCCTGTATACTTAGTCAAAAAGCCATGGAACTAGGTTCCCTGTATACTTAGTCAAAAAGCCATGGAACTAGGTGCCCTGTATACTTAGTCAAAAAGCCATGGAACTAGGTTCCCTGTATACTTAGTCAAAAAGCCATGGAACTAGGTGCCCTGTATACTTAGTCAAAAAGCCATGGAACTAGGTTCCCTGTATACTTAGTCAAAAAGCCATGGAACTAGGTGCCCTGTATACTTAGTCAAAAAGCCATGGAACTAGGTTCCCTGTATACTTAGTCAAAAAGCCATGGAACTAGG